ACCAAACCAAGTATTAGGTCTAATTAAATAAAAAATAGTATAATCTAATATTTAATCTTTTCATAATACGTCTATCAAATTGAGTCTTTAGGGGCATGTTTGCTTGAAGGATAGTGGTGGTATAAGGAGGTGGGATTAGGGAAAATAGTACATAGGGCCCAATAATTTTTTGTTTGTTTGTTTTTTTTTGTGTGGTATTATTTTTCAGATTGCAATACTGACATGCACACAACAGTCACCAAAACCCATGTACATGGGCTTATATAATACCACCTAAAAGGTGGTATTATTTTTTGGGTTTTGGCCACTAACGGTATTAAAGATGTTAACAGCATTTAATATGAGGAAAAAATTTAAAATAATTTTTTTTTTAAAAATTTTAAAAAAAATCCGTAATACCATACACTTAAATATAATATAAGAAAAAAATTTAAAATAAATTTTTTAAAAAATATAAAAAAAAAAATGGTAACACCGTACGTTTAAACATAATACAAGAAAAAAATTCAAAATAATTTTAAAAAAAAAATTAAAAAAAATGGTGACACCGTACACTTGAACATAATACAAAGAAAAATTTTAAAATAAATTTTTATATGTGAACTCTACACATAAGGTATTTGTGTCATTTTTTTTACTTGTACCGTTGATAGATTTACACCAGCAAATAATACCACTTAGTAGATGGTATTCATTAAAGCTATGTATAAAGGTTTGACGAGCCCAAAATTAACAAGGTCAGACCCAATAAATTTACCGAGTCCAAGTCAGCTAAAAGGCAATCCAGACTCACTTTAATGATCCAACCCAGTCTAGGATCCAAGGAGTCCGAGAAGATTGGAGCACGTGGGGAGAGAGAATATTGGGATATGCACTCTTGAAAATCCAATCCTACCTTGATTGTACTTACCAAAAGACTAGTGCACTCTCTCTCTCTCTCGTGTCACCGCCTCATCGCCTCACCATACCTATATAATGTAAGTCCTCTCCACATAGAGGACATGACCTTGAGATCCCAAGACACCTCTACATCCCACAGACCTCTCTATATCTTTTTACACACCAATTTTCTCTGTCCTAAAACATTGTAACTCTCTCGGAGTACACTCTCCCAGTTACTTTATTCATCAATTAAGAACTCTGCCCACCGTTGCTGTTTTTCGAGAGTGGAGTAGGTCACCCAGACCGAACCACTATACATCTGCGTGTTTGCTCTTATTTACTATTTTGCTATTGATTGCCTATTTACTACTCATTAATTACACTCATTCATGTACTTGATTATTGATCTTGCACGAGATTAATTTGTGCATCATTAATTTGGCACCGTCTGTGGGAAACGATTAAGTTTTCTATTTTCTTCTAACCCATGGTAATCATGACCAGATCAATGAGTCAACAACTAGGAAACAACAACCCGGCCCACTGGGAGGAGGCTCTGCCTCCTCTCGCACCCTCAGAACCATTTGGTACGGCGACTCCCATCATTGAACAACAGCTTTTATAGACCAAGTAGCTGCTGATAAACCAAAACCAATAGATTATTCAGTTGATGTTCTCCTGGGGAGGCATCACCCCTCACCTCGTGGGAGGAGTCCCACTCCCTCCAATGGAAGAAGAGAAGCAACCTATCCACTTTGGGCGCCAAGAAGCCCCCCATCATGGGGTCCCTCGCTAGAATGCCCCCGGGCAACACCAAGGTGCCCCTCGTCCAGCAATCCCTCCTCAATGTGCAGGAACTCATATGTTCTCCCTCCTTATATACCTACGCAGAAGGACAAAGGAGAAACCCAGTACGGCGATCATGGAAGCCAATACAACCACCCAACGGAGGACGTCCCTAACCAATGGGACGAGAAGATCAGAGAGGTGCAAAACCAAGTCAGTGACGTCCTCAACGCAATCAAGGCCCAGGTGCCCGAGACGGTGGATTACTTGGTAAGATGTACTGATACCCCATTTATTGCGGATATAGTCAATTATCTCTTACCCTCAAAGTTCAAAATGCCTGCCATTGAGATCGTCAACGGTACCAAAGACCCCCTCGATCATCTGGACACCTACAAATCTCGCATGCAACTCCACAATGTGCCTAATGAGATTATGTGTAGAGTCTTCCCTACCACCCTCAACGGATCTTCTTGCCAATGGTTCGCAAAGATCAAACCCTCCTATATCCATTCCTTCGTAGAGCTGAGTAAATCCTTTGTCTCCCACTTCATTGGGGGACGCCGAAATCAGAAGCCTATTAGACACCTACTCACCATCAAGTAGGACCGGGATAAAAGCCTCAAGAACTACCTTACCTATTTCAATAAAGAGGCCCTCTAGATTAAAGAGCTAGACGATAAAGTAGGCCTAGCTGCCTTTATCGCGGGTTTGCGCGCCTCTAGCTTTATGTTATCCGTCCTCAAGAAGTCGCCCTCCAGCATGCTTGAGATTCTGTCAAGGGCACCAAAGTATATGAACGCCAAGGATGTCACCAAGGCCAGACGAGGTGAATCTTCCCATGGGGGCAAGAAGAAGAAAGACACCGTGATGACAAGCGGGAAGCAGAGAACCAAAGGAATAGGACAGAGAGAATCTCTGTCAAGGAACGCCTTGGTCCCCCGCCTCTAAGAGAGCGACAAGCCTTCACACAGCTCAATACTTTTGTGGAGCATATCCTGTTCCAAATACAGGATGATCCTACAGTACCCTGGCCAGAGAAGATGAAGACTGCCCTGAATTGGAGAAGCCTGAACAAGTACTGCCGTTTTCACCGCTATGATACTAACGACTACTTTGATCTCAAAAGATAGATCGAGGAGCTCATACAGCGTGGCCACTTGAGACAGTACATTGCTGGTAGAGGACAAACCCTGCCACTTGGTTAGGACCAGCATGATAGAGAATGTCATAAACCCTTTGAAGAAATTCAGACAATCTCCTGAGGGCTAGGAGGAGGAGGTGACTCGAACTCCGCTAGGAAAGTTTTGGCCCACCTATAGGACATTAAACACCTGAAAATTTTATCTATCTTTTATTATTTCAGTCAATTTATTTTGTTATATATTATTTTATGAAATAAAATTCTATGAAGATTATTGTGTCCGAATTGTCTTATTTTTCTAAAATATATAAACAACTTACAAAAGTCAGAACATGACCTAACATCAAGGTAGACAAAAAGACAATAGTTGTCATACTCCTGATGATTAGTCACTACTCCCCGAGCCACAACCAATATCATCAAGGCTTTCCCCATCACCAACTATTGTTAGTGCCTCCTAGGGGACAAAGTCAGAGAAATCAACAGTGACCCTCTTAGCAGACGTCCAACACCAGGCACTCGACCCTCTCAACAGGCGCCTAGCAACACAAGTGCCTAGCACTAGGTGCCCAGCTCCTCAGCGCCCTCCACATCTCCATGGAATGAGCCTTTGGCACGGCAGCCCTCTCCTGAGCTATAAGTAGCTTAGCCTCAGCTCCGGCGGCCCATTCACTGAGCGCTTGCAGTTATGACTCTACTCTCACGCAAGTAGTCACCTTGTAAGCCTCTGCCACAGCAGCCATTTCCCAAGTTATATGTAGCTCGGCCTCAGCTTCTACATCCCTTTCATGGGACGTTTGCAGCTATGACTCTACTCTCACGCAAGTAGTCACCTTGTAAGTCTTTGCCACGACAGCCATCTCCCGAGTTATACGTAGTTTGGCTTCAGCTCCCGCGGTCCTCTCATGGGACTTTTGCAACTATAACTCTGCTCTCGCGCAAGTAGTCACCTTGTAAGCCTCTGCCATGGCAACCCTCTCCGAGTAATACATAGCTCGGCCTCCAGCTTTGCGGCCCTCACACGGGACGATCGTAGCCTTGACTTTGTAATCACGCAGACAGTCTCTTTGTCAGTCTCCAGCTTGCCGGCACTCTCACGGGATGCCAAAAAGCTTGGTCTCAAGAGCCACAACTCTCTCATAAACAAGCCTCAACTGCTCCTCAGCAGTCTCTCGAAGCCCGCCTCTCTTTTGTTAGATTCATGGATACCTCTCCAAGTTTGACCATTCTTGAAAAAAGGCTAGGAAAAGTGGTAGCCACTAGCAAACATTCAAAAAGCAGAATATGAAGGAAAGGAGACGGGTATAAAATCAAAGTTGATAATGCCCTCTGGACCTCGAGATCTAGCCTCTCTAATGTCTCTGGGAGTCACGGACCCCCAAAGTTGCTCCTTGATCGAAGTCAAGTCAAAGCATGGACACCGAGCCACTACTAGAAGCAAGATAGCTATATGGAGCTACACTCCCCATAAAAAGACTACACTGGAGTCTCAACTCTTACAATGGTACAAGGGCTAGCTCTGGTACACACAGAAGTCCCAGTCTAGAAAAGAGTGGGAATACCACCAGATCTCGTTCTCGGGAAGCAACCTGACCATCGAACCTCGATCGAAAAGCACTTGGGGCATCAAACCTTGCCCTCTTGAGAAGAGGGGCGGATGCTGCCCTAGAAGCATAGAGAACCTTCACCTCTATCATCGCTCTATCAACGGAGGCGCCTATAATTAGAGATAAGGTTAAGAACCAGCATAGACGAAAGCCATCATAGTCTCCTTCTCTGGAAGAAACCTAGAATGCTAATCGGTCGTCCATGAATGCCTGACAGCTACCTGGCAACGCAGCTCCCTTCCACCGTCGATTTCACTAATTTATGCTTAAATCTAAAATTCAGATAGATAGAAGCATTTTTTGGAAAATTTGTTGACGAAACTGCCTTTGGCATTTTGTATGTCGTAGATCTCAAAAAAAATACCCAAATTCAAAAAACAATTCGCTTCAAATGGATGGACAACTGAGAGCAAAGTTATGGTTGTTCAAAGGTTTGTCAATTTTTTATGGTTTTCTCATGCTCTAGTCGGCGCCGCAACGCCCGCTCCCTTCTCCTGGCTTTGCCCAGGCCACCTTAGCGTCTCCTAGACCACCTATATCCCCTAGCATCATCTAAGTCTCCTTGGCATCACCATGATCAGCACTAGTACCAACCAGCGCCCAATGCCAACGACTATAAGACAGCACCCAGACCACCTTGCTATTGCCCACTGGCCCCCTGCCTCGCTATCCTCTTCTAGCTTCTTCGCTCCGCTGCCCCGAGTCAAACTGGCGTTGCCTCCTCCTTGCCCAAGGGTGTCGTTTCCTCCTTGCCCAAGGGCGCTGCCTCCTCCTTGCCCAAGGGCACTACTTACTCCTCACACAAGGGCGCCAACCAGCTTGGCCTGGGGATTCGCCAAGGCGTCCCCCATGGCCTCGCCTGGAGCTTTGCCATGGCGTCGCCCATGGCTTCGCCTAGTGTGGCCCCACCTCGATTTGGGTCTTCTCCTCTCATACTTGCATCGAAGACGACAACCCTGCTCCCACTTCTGCCGACACCTGGATCACCCACAATAACCCAAAGGCACTGCCCACTATAGTAACCACGACAAGCAGCGCCAAAGACGCTACCCTAGCTTCTAGGCATCGCCCAAGGCGCCAATCCAACCTCCGGTGTCGCCCATAGCATCGCACTTGGCGCCACAACGACCCTCGTCCTAAGGTGCTCGCTGGACACGGGAGCCTCAGCCTTCCTCGGCGCCTGCCTGACCCACCTTGGTTCTAGCGCCGCCTAGCATGCCTAGGGAGCTGTCCAACCATGGAGCTATCAGAAGAAAAGAATAATTTCCCAAAATACAGAAGCAAGAAGCTCAGGAAGCTAACACCATGGAGAACAATAAACTAAGAGTTCACTCATGCCCTCAACCCCTTCTCTCGCAAGCAATTGGGGCATAGGGGCCAAATGACGAGCCCAAAATCAACTAGGTTAGGCCTAATAAATTTATTGAGCTCAAGTCAGTTAAAAGGTAGCCCAGACCCACTTGACCAATCTAACCCAGTCTAGTATCCAAGGAATCCAAGAAGATAGGAGCACGTTGGGAGAGAGAATATTGGGATATGCACTCATGAAAATCCAATCCTACCTTGATTGTACTTATCTAAAGAATAGTGCCCTCTCCCTCGCGTCACCACCTCATCATACCTATATAATGTAAGCCCTCTCTACATAGAGGGTATGACCTTGAGACCTCAAGACACCTCTACATCCCACACCTCTCTCTATATCTCTTTACACACCAATTTTCTCTCTCCTAAAGCATTGTAACTCTCTCGGAGTATACTCTCCTAGTTACTTTATTAATCAATAAAGAGCTTTTATCACCGCTGCCGTTTCTCGAAAGTAGAATAGCTCACCCGGACCGAACTACTATATATCTGCGTGTTTGCTCTTATTTAATGTTTTGTCATTGATTACCTATATACTACTCATTAATTACACCCGTTCATATACTTGATTGTTGATTTTACGCGAAATTAATTTGTGCATAATCAAGATTAAAGGCTACTGTAAAAACTGGGTCGATATTGCGACCCAAAAAATAATACTGCACATAAAATGCCAAACAAACAAGGTAATAGTTGGGCCTCATATACTATTTCTTGATATCCCACTTTATAATACCATTAAAACTCCTAAACAAACATGCCTTAGAAGGTTTTCATGTTTTCAAAACAGAATTCGACTTGGGGCGTGGAATAAATGGCTAAAGCATGAACCGCCCCTACCATTGGGCTTCAGGGCCGAAAGTAGTGCTCAACTTCGCTATCACATTCTTCTGTTGTGTTATTTATTATTTTTTTTTTTGGCTGAGAATTTTTCATACTAAGTTAAAGCTTACATGTTAATAGGCTTCCTTTTAGTTGTTTCCCATTGCATTGAAGATTCAAAAACCCCCCAAATCCAAGTTCGGGTCGGGTTTCACTGAAACCCTGATGGCTAATATGCTGCTTGCCACCTAAGAGGAAGCATGGGAGAGAATATAGCGGTGGTTGGGGCTGAAATTAAACTATGAATGTTGCAGGTGCCACCTAATAGATACATGAAATGTGCACGTGTATGGGGCTTGCTGGAGTGGACTCCAATCAAATCAAATCAAATCATTGTGTTAATATTATCCGTATTGAAAGGTAGGATGAGATGGTAGGTCTCAGCTCCTCTTCAATACAGTTTTTTTCAATTTTGATTGAGCATAAATTATCACTCGGAAATTTAAGTGAAACATATATTTTATATAAGCAGACTCCTCAATATATTGCAGATGATCTATTATTAAAATAAATTGGAAAAAAAAATAAATTAGAAAGAATCGAGATGCCATACTAGTGCTAGTGCCCCCGGGGTGTCACCAACTTGCATGATTGAGCTTTGGTGGCCCAACCCTCATGTGCTCCACATTCCGTACTGAAACCAATCTTTGCATCGTGTGGCCCTCTGCCAAGATATTTCTCCCAGCAAACAACCAAAGTTCCCTGCAATTAAGACACCCTCCTCAGTACTGTATGGTTTTAACACAAAATGTAACAAAAATCAACATATCATATGGAATTTGTGATGTTACATTATAATCTACCAAGGTACTACTAACTCAAGGTACCAAGCCTTTGTGGAACTTTATTAGGGCATCGACCCATGACATACTAACGTCTCAAAAATTAAAAGTTCCACAATTCCTCTCCTTCCGGGTGCATATATGATTTTTATGCGTAACTGTTGGATTTCATTAGTTTGGTATGAAGCGTTCAAAAGATCTCTCTCTTTCAAGCAAATACAACTGTGCAAAGCACCATGACCCTGTCTCCAGAGGATGAATCTATGCGCTGGCTTTTCAATTCTCTTTCAGCAGATGTAACATTTTACCACATGAACTGCGGGGCAAAAGCAACCATGACCAATGTTACTTGAATTATGGTTATTTTAATACGTGGTATGGGTATATGTATATAATACGACATTTTTTTAGATACGTGATATGACGAAGGTAGATTTAACTGGTATGGTATTTTGGGTGATATTTTATTTTAAAATTTTCATGTAGATCGTTTTTATTACTACACAACATTATATATTACAGAATATTCATAAACACTAAGTTAATTACTATTTATCTTATAGTTGTGCCTAATTTTTTATTATTTAAAATAATATATATTTATAAATATATATACATGTAGTCAATTAATATGTATTTTATATTTGTGCTACATGTTTTAAAGTTAATTCATTTAAAGATAGTATTACAATTTAGGATTATCTATTTTGATAATCTAGATCACAAACTTACCTCGTTTGGGTTTAATAAATTGTGCTGAACCATGACCATGACCATGACCATGGCCCATCTTCCATGGCTCCAATTCTGAATCAATTAATTTGGGCAAGAGATTTACTATTCAGATTTTAGTCGGACTTGAATGCATTTGAGAACCACAAAGTTGGGTTGTTAAACAAGAAACAAGTAGCATGCTTCCATGCTACACATGATGCGGCGGACAAGTTTTGTCAAAAGATACAAGACTATTTGATTTAAGTCTCAAAAAATAGTATTTAAAAATAATTTTTTAAAAATATTTTTAATATTTTTTGAGATAATTTTTTTTTAATTAGATGATTTCAAAAATAATTTTATAGAACGAAAAACAATAAAATCTATTTGAACAACTTGAATATATGTTTGGATAATAATTTAAAAATTAATAAAAAAATATGAAAAAATTATTTTTAAATAGACAATTTCATAAAAATATTCAATAAATCAAACTTCAAAATAAACCAAACTTTGAAATAAACTAAATATATTCAACTATGTTCAATTTATAACATATTCAATATCAATTTATATAGAAAATCAATCAACCAAACACCAATCGATTTTTTTGAACCAAAAATCTCAGAACAACACCGATAACAGAATCAATATCAATAACATATTCAATATCTAAAAATCTCATCAATAACTGATTCAATATCAATGAACCATCAAATATGAGATCTGAAACCCCTTGTTTTATATATATGACCATATTTGAACCAAAAAAATCAGATCAGATAAAAAAAAAAAATCAATTCTGTGTTTGATCGTCAATTGAAGCTGATAAAAAATTAGATCTGAACCAAAAAATTTGAGATCGGAAGCCCCTTGGTTTGTTTATATATATAACCAGATCTAAACCAAAAAAATCAGATCATATCAAAAAAAAAAATCAGATTTGTGTTTTCACTGATTAAAGCTAATCTGAACCAATCTTCCGAGAGCTCGCAGTTGTCCAAGAGCTCAGGTGTCTGTCTGCGTATTTTGCCAGAGAAGACGTTCTGTCTGAGAGAGTCTGTGGAGAGAGAAAGACAAGGAGAGTGAGAGTGTAGGAGAGAGAAAGGCAAAAGAAAAAAAAACTTTTATACTATAACTTGTTTTGCTTCTAAGGAGACTTGAATAAAAGACCTCATTAAAAAATTTAGTTGTTCTCCGTGATTTTCATTTTGTCCTTTTGTCTCCAAAAGACCTAAAACAAACTCAACTTGTTTCCCATTTTTTGTTCTTTACATCCCTCTTTTGCCATAAATTAGAGAACAAAAATTTAAACCAAACAAGTTTTCATTATTTTTAGAGATTTGAGAACAAAAAACAGTTTACAAGAATCAAATCAAACAGCCCCATAACTTTTCACTCGTGAATTCTCCATAGCCATAAAAGAGAAGGCAGCAAAAAGATTGGAAACTAGGGCACCCAGTGGCATTGGAGCACCCTTGTATGGACAGCCAGGCCAGTTAACAAGTACTTATCCCAAATCCATACTCAAGGAAACAGTAATGTGCCTACATAAATAACACCGCCGTACAGGCAGCACGCACTTCCAGTACTAATCAAGATGATAGGTTGAGCACCAAAGGCAATTAGTTAATCAGAAATTAGTGAATCATGGTACAAGAGAAATCTTACAGATGGAAAAGGTCCATAAAGACAATCCATCCTAGGAAAAGAATTCAAAAGATGGTGTAGACCATCTTTTTTTTCACCTATAAACGTGACTTCGGTTTGTGCTTGATGCCAAAATTAGATGATTATGTAGTGGTAGTTGGCCGACTATGAACTTCAAGTCTTGTATATAATCATCCTTCAAGCACTCAAGTTTCATTTTCTTGCCTATCATCATCTCTACTCACGGAGTTGATCAATATAGTTGAATTTTTATATAGCTACATAGTAGATTTAAACACCCCCAACCCGTACCCCCTTCTCTCTCTCTCTCTTTTCAAAAATATATATTTTACATTATCCACAAATAGCATGTTATAATTACAAGTGGGTATCGCACTTTGCCCAAGAAACTCATCCCATCCCTCTTTCAGATCTTATCTATTTCACAATTAACTTGTGGGGTCTGATTCTGGAGAACCAAAAAAGATCACTGAAACAGTATCATCCTCTTTTCTAACAGCAAAGAGAGAGAGAGACGTATATGACTCTAAATCACGGTATGCATGTTCGTACATGTTCGTATCAAAATGCAATACTATATAGGAGAGAAATATTCAGCATGGCAATGCACTGTCAACTAGAATACTTAAAAATATCATACACTCCGCTTGCATCCTAGCTGCACATTATAGTGACAATTTAATGATCTAAAACATTGGCTCTTTCCACTTCTTATATAAACCTTTCACTTTCGTACCAACGCCACCACTCAGAACTCTCTTTTCTCTCCTTCAAACTTTCATATCACCACTACAATCTCCATCTACATCCGAAGGAGATACACAACATGAAGTTAATGAAAGGAAAATTTCTCAGGGCAAGACTAAACAAGTGGCAAAAGATGGCTAATAGAGTCATACCTTCTGCAGCATGCAATAGCTGCTGCCAATGGGCTTTGTGGCTTTCCGTGCATGAAGAAAGCTCCATTCCAAGAGATGTCCCAAAGGGTCACATGGTAGTATATGTTGGTGAAAATTACAAAAGATTTGTAATTAAGATCACCCTGCTTGAGAACCCACTTTTTAAGGCATTGCTGGATCAAGCCAGGGAAGAATATGATTTCACTTCTGGCTCAAAACTCTGCATCCCCTGCAATGAGAACATCTTCCTCAGTGTTGTTCGATGTGCTACATCTCCGCAATGTCTACAACTCTCTTTGTGCTTCTGATGCTTCATCCACAAAGCTCCAGATTAAATTTGATTGAGGGGTATTAACTGCTAAACTAGAATGTGGATTTATATGAAACCATAACTTCTTGTACACCATGCTCAATTGTAAGTTATATTGGTAAGAACAGAGCTCTTATTTGCTGTTGTTAAGCATAAAAAGCAATTCATCCATGCAAAAAAAAAGGCCCTTTTTAAACCAGGGATCAAATACCCCAACTTAGCAAAACATTAACTGTGCAAAAGCTAGATTTCAGCTAAATGAATCCTTCTCCCATCAGCTTTATCTCGAACCAGATCTTCGTCTGGATCCTAGGCCTCTACTAGATCAGAGCGACTTGCAAGGCAACAACAAGCCTTGTTAACCAAAATCATTTGATGGCTGTCACCTGTACAGGAAGAACAGGTACGGAGGTATCACAAAGCTAACCAAGGATAATGGTCAATGGAGAAAACAGAATCCTTCTCCCATCAGTTTTATATCAAACCAAATCTTCCTCTGGATCCTAGGCCTCTACTGGATCAGACAGACTTGCAAGGCAACAACAAGCCTTGTTAACCAAAATCATTTGATGGCTGTGACCTGTAAAGGAAGAAGAGGCATGGAGATATCACACAGCTAACCAAGGATAATGGTGAATGGAGAAAACATCCCAACTTAGCCGAGAGATAAAGCTTCCATAAGACCTAGAATAGTAAATCAATCACTAATAGCATTATGAGAATGCCACCTGGTTACGAAGCTAGCTTTCATGTCCATTTCCCAGTACATTTACCCAAAATAGTTTAAGTTACCAGGACTTCAAATTCCCCACAATGTTGGAGTATAACACACATTGAAGGGTACTGTGCAACAAAGCCCAAGTCTACCTACCCAATTACTGGGTGATAAAAGCTTCGAGTTTTGGGAATTATACTGAATGTCTCATTCCTTGGGACAGGGGTTTGGGCTAGAGGAGTCGAACTCCATTTCTGTAGTCAAGCCATTGGTAAAAAGACTTGGCTGTACAACATTGCTACTATTCAAGGACTGTAGGCTATAAAATTTGTGTCATAACAATTTTTATGTACTCTTATTAACAAGTAGGCATAATTTTAAAAAGGATCGTATTGCCAACCGTGAGTCAAATACAAAAAGAACACACTCTAATACCTAAAGTGATGTAGAAAAACACTGTAACCAAAAAAAAAAGAGTAGAGCATTGCATGATTGATTTTGGTTGGTTTAGGTTAAGGAAAAGCAAGCTTTGTGATGAGGAAGAAAGGTTGTAAACAGTATTAGAAGAAGCAAGTTGAAGTTGGATAGGTCTCGAAGGTGTTGCATAACAACAAATTTGGAAGAAACACTTTTTAACATTCCTGGATGGCATTTATGTTGGGCTGTAAGGTGTTAGAGAAAAGACTTATTGCATAGAAAATTTCAGGACTTCAAAATAAAAGGAAAGAAAATTTTTGAGGCCTTTCCAGGTTTCAGAGCTAGCCCTGGAACTAGCAAACAATAGCTACTTAGCTAGGTTCTTTGTATCTCATGTTTCTAAGGTTGAATCTTTAACGGAAACTGAATGATCAAGCTCATTATAGTTTCAGTTTTTTTAAAAAAGAAATCAACAAAAAAAATTAAAAAGAGAAGAAAATGGTTCGCTTGGGCACATGCCCGACTCCGCTATGAACCTGCTTTGACCGCAGGTCAACCAATTCAACTGCAGGAGACTTTGCTGACCATCTCATTCCAAGAAACTCCGGCTTTGCATTTCAATATCTCCCTCATAAGACCTCTATTTCAATTTTTTATGTACTAAATTGAAAGGTCTGTCATGAAAACGAGCCCCTTCAAGGGTTCTAAAATCTAAATTGCTGATTCACCGAAAAGTCGGTGTGGTGTGTGGACAAGCAAATTCTGATAATAACGCCCTTAACAATCATCCTTATCTTTTGAACTACTACATAAAAATGAAAGAAAGACATAGCTTTCGAGTAATCACTACAATCTGCCTTGAAAAAGAAAAAAAAACACAAAACACAATTACATAGAGAGGCCACTAAAGAGAAGTCCAATCTCTGTCTTTAAGGAGAACCAAATTGATATTTTCACACATACAACAAATTTAACCCAGCTAACAACCATATGAAACTCCCCAGTGCAAAATAACATCTAAATACACTAGGTCCACTCCTATAGCCCATCCAAAGTATCGTGACTACTAAAATAGAATCTAGAATTGAACAAAATTTTAAACACATAAGACAAGTATACAATGTCAAACTGGGGGTGCTATGCCAAAAATGATGCAAACATTTATAGTTGCTATTCTCAAGATTTAACGGTTCAGGAGCCTCTTATGTAATGCATAAACAAATTAAAGCACAAGTCACTGTACTTCCACACTCTTCATAAATTGGCTTTGTCGCATCAACATTCATATATGAGGACATAGTTATTTCTCACTTTAAGAGCCTCAAGATGGAACATAGTCATAGAGATTTGTTCTATTATCCCTTTTCTTAACTTCCCTGGTAGCCCAAAGCCTTCAACAAATGACAACAATGGCATATATTGCTCCCAAAGATCTGATAAAGAGGCTAACAAGAACATGTCAAATTAGCTCTGCAATGTACATGGGCACATCTTGCATTTGGAAAGTGAAAAAAAATATATAAAAAAGAAATTCCAAGCAATTAGACCTTAGATATTAAATTGAATCTCGTATAATTTTCCAAATTGGCCTTGCTGTAGTGTTAAGTCAAAGGTTTTGTACGTAAAATAGAAAATGGTGCAATCACATGCGTCATTGGGGACTATTGTCTAGATTGTCAAGGCACATATCTAGGAAAGATTGAGGGTTCTGAAGGCAGAAGCTATGGCATTATAGTATGTCCTCTGTAATTAAGGATTTGAAGTTTCACATAACCAGATAAAAAAAGATCACCAAGACAAAATGAAACTCCCAGAGAATTTGGGATGAGGGCTGCCAATCCCCAGACAGCATCACACTGTTATACTCTTACCCAATAGCAGAATGGGAGGAAGAGAAGGCAAAAACTCCGGTATACAAAAACATGTTATGCACTCTTTTTTTTTTTTTTGAACTGGCATGTTATGCACTCAAGACTAAATAAAGTAGGTATAATAATCAAAGGATAGTCAAACTCCTAGTCCATAAACTCAATAGATCAAAACTCATTCCTTGCACTATCCTTTTTTCGTTTTAAGAAGCTTCTCCATGTGTCGATACATACAAAAGTTTTGACAGCATAAACTTCCAAAATAATTTCAGGCAGGAAAGAGACGAGTACCACCTCAACAAACCTCACAGTTCACAGACAAGACTAGACATCTACAACAGCAAACAAAGAAAGTGCAAGATAAACCCCTGCCTCAGAGGAGGAGAAGTTTCAACTGAACAATTTAGTTTGTGAATATTTTTTAGGGACTGGGGAAAAAAGGTATGGGATCCAATTCTAGCTCATGAAACAATATAGGCAAAATAATGTAAAAGCCATAGAATCAAGTGAAGCAATGCAATGGACAAAATCGTGCTAGTACGTCAATCAGGAAGACTGGAACTTTAATAAAGAAGAAAAAGTATTGTGATGAGATGTTCGATTAACACCAAATCAGCAACTTGTGATTCCAACAGTGGCTGAGCCTTCATTCAAATATTTTTGCTAGTTCTACCCAAATTTCTATTTGGTGGAACCAAATCTTGAACAAGTTCTCTCACCAAGGCCACAATTTAATTTTATTTATTTGCGACCTTATGGTGGAACACCAAGCGTATGTTTGTCATTCATATTTTTGCCTTCTCTAAGATAGCCCGTGCATAGTGAGCCCAACAAATACAACAGCATCAGAGAACAATGCTTTATGAATCTGCCAAAAGAACTTTGGGCATATTAGACAACTGAATGGAATTTCATGTAGCATTGGAAGGCATTTGAGGCAGGGATTGCCCACAAGAACAAGTGATCCACCAAGGAAAATCCTTGGTGACTTGGGCTAATGAAATTGGATCATGGGAAAATTTTGTAGATGAGGGACAAGGTTCGTCTTCTTACTCCCCCTAGGATTAGTGATAGAAGTTAAATAAGAGATGGTTGTATTCATTCCATGCCAAAGCGGAATTCTTAAATATCATTCTTTTGTAAGAAAAATAGTTTATAGATCCTAACGTACCCCAAAAACAAGTTTACAGACCCTAATTTGCTCTTGAAGAGGCTTTATAACTTCTAACCGTGAAATTATTAATTAGTAAAAATTTTCTAGAATAGTCTATTTATGAAAGCTGGTTAATGATTCAGAGATGTAAACTAACACAAAAGAGAGAGTTTTCTGGGATAGTTCTGCCACTGCGAACAGGAAGAACAGTAACCTAAATTAAGTTCGCTAAAACCAGAATGTTTTTTTTTTTTTGATTGAAGCTATAATCAGAATGTTGTTTCACTGGAAAACTTTCTCGCACTCAGTATTACCCTCTCAAGAATGTCTGTTATGGCATTCAGATTTTTGCCATATACTGACACATCAAAGTACTGTAAGAGATGTTTCTCAAAGTGTTCATGACATTGCCTTAAAAACTCTTCTTCCAACCTTAAATAACCGAGATGTGGCCAAACCAGAAGCAAGGTGCATCCATAAAGGCCAAATATAACATGCAACACCAAGAGATAAATATTACAATACTGAGTCAAAAAAAGTATACTATAGCACAAGAAATTTCCAGAAGCATCTTACGTATCAGTCCCTAAATGTACGCAATCAATGGGATATGGAAAAAGAACTATTAAGAGTGGTTGTATATTCTCTAACATAACTGAAAAATAGCCAACAGTAGGGCCAAATAAGGCTATCCCCTTAGATGTCATTAAAAAGAGAAAATTATATTTCAATGATAGAACCAAGATGAAAACATATTATAGTTCAATGACAAAATTATATTCCAGGGATAGAACCAAGATTGCAACACATTATAGACGAGAAATTTTGTCAAAATATGCACAATTAAATATCTGCTCGTAATGAAGTACATACAACACATCATTGCTGGCAAAGTCACCAAAACAATGGCAGTGCCTAATCATATATACTGCAAAACATTGAACACATAAAGCACCAAAACATTACCACTATCGTTGGAGTCACAATTGTGGCTGTGAAGTATACCATCATTTACTTTTCCCGAAAATCATCTAAAATCTTCAAGAAAGCCCTCCAACTCCATTCTCCCAAATGACCTTCCAAACAAAGTAGCATCCTTGTACCTCACCGCCAAGTAATATGCCAGCCAAGCCACCATAAAATAAACCTCCATCACAGATTGGAAAGCAGAGGCAAACAAATTCCCCAAAAATCTGGTCAGTATCCATTGGGTGAACGAGCCACAAATAATTCCCTCCAAACACTTAATGCTGATAGCGGGGCCTAACATTGTTGACAACAAATGACACCCTTCCTTCAGAACCTCCCTCCCACTCTTCCTCGAGTCCACCATGGCAACCCACGCATCCACAGAAAAAATAAATGCCACTAACATGTCCCAGAAGAACCATAAAAACACAAAGCTCAGACTCTCCCTCTCATACCTTTTTATCCACAGAGTCATAATGGAAAATGGCATCAACTTCAACCTCACAAAGATCTTGAAAAACAAGTACTGATCTTTAATTTCACCAAAGCACCAGATGCCCAATGACTGTGTCAACGCATCCCTTACTGCCCACCTCATAATAATAAACCCAGAAAGCCTTTTGAGACCCAAATTGGAACCATCCCACAAAGTCCTAAAAAAGGACCTGTACTTCCCTAGCAAATCATTCACAACCACAAAGAAAACAGTCCCAAGTACCCAAGCATACGTAACTAAAAAACCCAAAACCACATACCCATATGCAACAGACAAAATTCCCGCAATAAATAATAACACGGTCGCATCCCGGCGACCCAACTCCAAACCCCGAATAAAGAACTGTAATTGCGCAATTATTTCACCTTCGTTACCTTCCGCCTCTTCTCTCACCAAATCATGAGTTTCATTTAGCTGATCTGAATATAGAGACTGCTCGGGAGCTTTGAAAGGCACCCCAGAGCGGATTGTTTCATAAGCCCGAATTCCATTATCGGGAATGTTACTTGAAAACCCTAATTTGGGATTGAGAATTAGATAGGAGTGATTGAGTTGGGGTTTGGGATTGGGATTGGACCCAAAAAGAGAGCGATCATAGTTGACATCGCCGGAGAAGAAGTCGTCATCGAGAGTACCGACGCGGGTGAAGTGGAGGAAAGCGCAGCGACGACGGTGGCGGAGGACATGGTGTTCGTGGTGGGGATAATGAGATCGGCCAGCAATGTCGAGGTGGGAGAGGAGGGATATGAGAGAAGGATCACGGTCAATGAAGGAAGTGAGGTAGTGGGTACCGTTCTCGACATTGCAACGGAAGGTGAAGATTAAGAAGGATAGGAAGAGGAAGGTGAGGAAGGTGAGGAAGTGAGAAGTGAAGATTGTTGTGGTTTGTTTGAGGAGTTGGGTGGTGGTGTGGTGGTCGATGGCTGGTGGTGGCGTATTACGGTGGGTCCTGGCGGTTCTTAGGCTCTGGAGAGAGGTATCAAATGAATGATAACTGATCTTTATGCTTCCAATCGACGAGAGATTGACACAAGTATAATTCCAAGTTACTGAAGTAACATTAAATCCATCTTAATCGATTTTTACTTTTTTTTTTTTAAACTTTATTCAGTTATAAAATTGACCAAAAAACTAAAACTTTTATCTAAATTTTTTTATAATTATTACTTAAATGATCACGTAGATTTCTTACTTTGTGGGGGCACAACAAAAACATGTCATAACATTAGTTTATCAATAACATGATTTATCCGACCACAACAAAAACATGTCATAATTAAAATATTATATAATTTGAAAATAAGATGATTGGACAATAACTGTGTCCGTTACAGGGTTAACTCACATTATTTCTTTTAAAAGTCCGCAAAAATATTCAGATGATTGTAGATTTATGCCAATGTTGAAACACCATTGAATAAGGCTTTGGATGTCAGTATACTATAATTTCAAGCTCCACTGTTTTTTTCCCTATAATGCAAATTACTCTTAAAAACTATATTTTCATGATACAATGCTTAACTCCTCAAGGCTTTCTAAGAATCTTAAAAGTCTTAGAACCAAAATTATGCAAACTAAAAGTTTAAGAAAGAGAGTCGTTTTGATTGTTATTCCTTTTTCACTTATTTTTTCATGTAAATATGCATATATACCGAGATATATATATGATAATGCACAAATTAGATTTGTACATCACCTGTTAAATGAATAATGAGAAATGCAGTAGTAAAGTAGAGAGATGGAAACACGGGCAAGACAAGGATTTATAGTGCTTCGGTCAACGTGACTTATGTCCACTTTAATGGCTAGGCTTGACGGGGTATTTTATTACTTCAAGTGTGTAGCGAGAGCAAGAAGATACAAGCTATGAGAGTAACAGAGATGTGCTCGACTAAGTGTGATGCCCCACAAGTGTTGGGGGGCTTACAATTTATAGTTGTTTCCTAACAAATTGAAGTGACTTATTAGTAAGTAAGTGACTAATCTAGTGGAGTTGGCACCCTCTTCTCAACGGATGAGGCAGTTGCGGTGCTCCCCATAAGATTCGATCAAATGATGATGTAAAGGTTGACCCTTTTCAAGGCGGCGTGGATGAGGCTCTTGAATAACCCTACTTATTTCCTTGGTAATGTAGTTCCTCAAACCCTAATGAGCTTGAGCGGGCATGAACTCCTTTGGGCTAGACTTGCTGGATTTCTTAGAGTTGGGCTCTTAATTTGCAATGGGCTCACAAACGTAGGTTGGCCTCTTGGGGTTGACCCATCATTTGCCCCCAATGTTTTGTGTCCAATGGAACTTAGAATGGAGGGCATTCAGTTGAGTTTGAATTTTAGCTGAACACACAACTGGAAAAATTTCAAGAGGCCAAAACATATATTTCAGTCAAAGGCTGCGAGACTGGTAGGGCTCGCTGAGAGTTTCGATTTGATATATTATGGGCCCCGTTTGGAGAAATGGATCAAAAGTTACGGTCAAAATAGCGATCAACCTTTCTTGAACTTGGATTCCTCGGAGACTCCTTTCATTCATGATATTTTCCACCTTTGCAGAACTTCTCAAGACCTTCCCCATTTTATATTTGGATTCTAGGAGAGTCCTTGGTTTCAAATAGGGACTTTTCCCCTTTTTTCATTCCTTAATAGGATTTAAATATTCCTCGGCTATACATAAGGAGTTTCGTCCCATTTCACTCATTTCATTCATTTTGAGAGAGCTCTGAGAGAGGACTTCTTTGTGAGACTCTTGTCTTCAAGAAGTTAGGATGAGATTTCTGAATGGAGTATCCAAAGGCAATGTCGATTGAGGAGGGGGATGTGCAAAGTTCCATCGGTATCCATGGGAATAGAGTGATCGGTACTGAGGTAGGCAACCATGAGGTCACTAGCACGATGGAGATCAAAAGAGGAGGCGTCAAAGATGGGGCACCTTGGGCGCTGCCTGACAAGGCGACCCAGGTAGAAATAGGCGACGGCGCCATGGGCTCCGCTAAGAGGAGGAAATTGGGGTCGCCGCTGGCTGAAGAAGAAGAGGGTGAGAAACAGGGAGGTGGGTAAGCTGGCGTCGAAGTAGGGACCCACGGCAAGGGGGCAAGACTACTGAAGCAGACGCGGAGCGAGGGACAATGGATGGGTGAGCAGGCCTCTCGTTGGTTGCTGATTGTGATTGGGTGAGCCCGCTAGGAGTTGGGCATGGCCTGTTCGCGACGGGGTGAGCGCGCCAACCATTGGGCATGGTCTCTCCGCATGGGAGTTGGTTGGGTCATCCTCGTGGGACGAGCCTAGTGTGGGGTTTGTGGACGCCGGTCATAGACCTTCGTGAATGCCAAAGAAGAGCTCGTTGGGCACTTCTAGTGGAACTTCTCAAAGTCAAATTCTTTAAGGGCTCCTTGCTAATGGCTCGGGCAACCCTTCATGCCTTGTAACAAAAAAGGTAGCTCTTGACGACAATGGATCCAAAGTAAGTACTATTTCTAGCACGCTTAATACCAATGTTTATATCTTATGGATTACTTCTGCTTATAACATTCCTCCTACAGTATTGTGCTGTCGAGCTGAGATGGGTAAGTTTGCTTGTGATGACTTCTCTGGAGACATTGTTATCTATAGGAGATGCTTGAGGCTGGGCTCAAGTTCCCAATGCCCTCTTCCATTTGTCATATTTTGCATTACTTTTCACTAACACCAGGGCGGTTGGTGCCCAATGGTTGGAGAGTTTTGCTGAATTTTCTGACATTGTAGAGGAAGGTGCATCATGAGGATGTCTCTCCTGATAAGTTTTATGTGGCTTACACTTTGACCGAGACTCCTACTCCTAATCGAGGCTGGTACAATTTTACTACAAGAAGAGGTAAGTTGATTACCGGATTGTGCTCCAACTATTGTGGCTGGAAGTCTCATTTCATGTTTATCGGTGGAGAGTGGGCTTCAGAGGCTGATAGGACTTTGGTACCAATAGGATAGGGTACTCCTAAGAAAGTTGGTACGCCTTACACTTACTCTCTCTCCTTCACCCATCTTTTTTTTTTGTAACTGTGTACTCATCATACCCCTTGCAGATTCTTTTGTGCTCTCGAAAGACCAAGAGTGGAAGTTGCACGGCATGAGGGCTCATCTTGAAAAAGACTTTGGAGCTTTTATGCTCAAAGATGGTGGAGCGAGAGGTTCTCCTGCAATCAATGTTAGGGCTGGTGTACCCTCTTCGAGATCCGGCGGTTCTTCTTTGAAGAGAAATGATATATTGATTCTCTTGTACTTTCCTTTTTTACTTGGTTTTTCTCCTTTGCAGTGGATAAAACGGTGGTTGGGTCCCGTTATTCTAGTAGAAACACTCATCCTAAGGTGGCTAGGATGAGTGATACTTTGGCGAGCTCCTCTCAAGTGACCCCTCCAGTGGTGCCTCCTCGGTCAACAACTCCTTCAGATGTGACTGTTACTCCGGACACTCTCTTGTCGACCACACCTCCTGTCCCCCATTCATCGACTCCCCTGTGGGAACTTCTATAGGGGCACCTACTCATATTGGCTCTATGTTGCGTGGCGCGCGAGTCATCAGGGATCGACTTGTGAGGTTTGTGTTTCCAACCGATGTTAATGAGATTAGTGCTCTGGACACCGAGGGAATCATCAACACTTTTCTGGAAGGCTTGGCTCAGGTAAGGGTTTGTTGTCTCCCTTTTTCCAGTCCTTCCTTAGGCGTTTGACATTTTTTTTCCTTTTACCTTCCTTCAAGTTTCAACTACCTCTATATATCTTTTTTCAAGAGCTTTTTATTAAGGTTAGCTGAAGCATAGCCATGAAGCTGTGAAGAAAGAGCTTCTTGTTGCTCAGGGAGGATTGCTGAGCTTGAAGTTGCTGATAGGGCTTCCCAGGCTAAGCTTGTGGCAACCCATAAGAGGGCCGCACTCAGAGAGGTTGTTTGCACGAGGGCTGAAGTGGAGCTTTTGACGACCCGCGAGAGGGCGACTAAGTTTGAGATTGAGCTTTTGACGACCTATGAGAGGGACGCGCTTAGAGAGGCTGAGCTTGTGGATACTCGCGAGAGGGTCGTAATCAGAGAGGCTGTTGCTTGAGAGGAGAGGCAGAGGTGAAGGCAGCTCACGAGAGAGCTTCTCGGGCTAAGGTGGACCTGTTATTAACTCGTGAAAGAGGCGTCAGGGCTGAGAATGATTTGGAGACTAGCCTTACATATGCCTTTTATTGATGGTTATGAGGAGCTTCGGAGAAAGATTTTTGCTATTTTCCCTGATATTATCTTTCAGGCTTTGTGCCATATGAGGCGCTTGATGATAATGATAGAGGTTCTAATGATGTCGAGGGTGATGAGGAGGAGGAGGAGGAGGCTAACCATGAGAATAGTTAGAGTACTGGATACTTTTGATTTTTTAAGAAAGGCAGTTTATAGCCTTACTTTTGTAAAAGTAATTTTTTTGCCACTAATGTTCTTTTTGAAATAAAATGCAAAGAACTTTTGAAGTTAATTAGAAAATTTTATTCATTCATTACTTATGTCAAGCAATAGTAGGTAATAAACCCAAAAAAGGTACAAAGAAATAAAATCAAGTTCCTCAACTACTACTCTCCCACGGTGTCATGGGTAGTGCCTCTTCAGGTGCTCAGCGTTCTACGGATGGGGTAAGATCTTCCCTTTGGAATTCTAAATCTTGAAGGTGTCTGGCCTCACCACTTCTGTTACCAGGTAGGGTCCTTCCCAGTTTGATTTCAGCTTTCCTTCTCGGGAATCCTTTGTGGTGAGAATCACTTTCTTGAGGACCAAGTCTCCTGGTTAAAAGGAACGAGGCTTCATCCCTGAATTGTAATATCTTGTCATGCGGCACTTGTACTATGCATTGCAGACCACAACCATCTCCCTTGCCTCCTCCACCAAGTCGAGGCTGATGCGAAGTCTTTCTTCGTTGGTGATGGAGTAGTGGTGTTGGACCCTTAGAAAATGTACCCCGATCTCCACAGATATGATTGCCTCAGTTTTGATGGCGAGAAAAAATGGGGTTTCTCGATTTGGGGTTCTCGGCGTAGTTCGGTAGGCCTATAATACATCTGAAAGTTCGTCAACCCAGAGACCCTTCGCTCTTTCGAGCCTTGTCTTTAGGTTGCATAATATTGTTCTGACCATGACTTCTATCTGTCTGTTTGCTTGCGGGTGCGTTGGGCTGGAATGAGGCTATTTTATCTGGTGGTTTGAGTAAAAGGAGTTCAGGAGTTTGTTGTCGAATTGTTTGGCTTTGTTGCTGACTATGACGTGGGGTATCCCGAAGTGGAAGACCAGGTTCTTCCAAATAAAATCTTTTACCTTCGCGTCTATTATTTTTGCTCAAGGTTCGACCTCCGTCCATTTAGTGAAGTAGTCGATGGTTACCACCAAAAACTTGCACTGCCCTTTACTTAGAGGTAGGAGGCCCAAGATGTCGATGCCCCATTTAGAAAAGGGCCACAGACTTATGATGACTGTCAGTTCTTCTGGCGGTTGTCTGGGCACAATGGCGAAACACTGACACTTGTCACACTTCTTGGTGAGCTCCTAGGTGTCCCTCACCATGCTAGGCCAAAAGTAGCCCTGCCTAAGTGCTTTGTGGGTGAGGGAGTGTCCTTTAGAGTGATTCCTGCAAACCCTTTCATGGATTTCTTGTAGGGCATAGTTAGCTTCTTCTGGTGAACGACACCATAGTAGTGGCAAAGAGTAGCATTTCTTGTACAGGATGTCTTGTAAGATGGTAAATTTGGAGGCTCCATCTTGAGTTTTTTGGCTTTCAGGGGATCATCTGGCAACACGCCTTCATGGAGGTATGCCCTTATCGGGTCATCTAGTTTGATTCAGCAGATGCACAGTTGACATTTGTGGCTTCCACGTCTAATTTGCTTGGTTGGAACTGGTCAACGATGAATGCTGGTCTTGGTGGGGCTTTTGAGGATAAGGCGAGCCTGACTAGTGCATCTGCAGCATGTTGTCCTCCCTCGGGATGTGGCAGATTTGAAAGTATTGGAACCTAGCATGCAAGGCTCGCACCGTAGCAAAGTACCCTGCATTCTGGCTCCTTTTGCTTCAAACTCACCCTTTACTTGGTTGACTATCAGTTGAGAATCACTGTAAGTGATGAGACGTTGGGCTTCCATTTTGATCGCCAACCTTAGGCCAGATAAGAGGGCTTCATATTTTGCCTCAGTGTTGAAGGCAGTAAAGTTAGAGCTTGATACCATACTTGATGGAAGTGTCATCGGCGTTGATCAAGATTAGGCCTACTCCACCTCATTTGCTGGTCAAAGAACCATCCACGTAAAGCTCCCAGGGTGGTAGAAAGGTGGCCTTAGAGGCCATTGTGGGAGTCTAGGTGCCAAGTTGGGTGCCTGGGTGTCTGACTGGGGCGTCTGGATGTCTTGGGTACCTTCGCAGGGTGCCAGGTTGTTTTGCATGTCTGGGTTCGACGCTTGAGTGTCTGGGTATGTTGGTGATGAGGCTTGCTCAAATGTTGAGGGCTTGCTGTTGAGATTAGGGCGAGCGCTAGTTTTTCTAGTCCTGAATATCTTATTTCTGCTCCTTGATATGCTCTACTCATGTAGTAGATAGGTTTTTGCACTCCATTATTGTATCTGATGAGGACGGAGCTTACTGCCAATGGAAAAGCATAAAGGTACAAATATAGAGTTTTCACCTGATGTAGCATGTGAACGGAGGGAAGGCATGGTCAAGCAGGTTTTGAGCTTTCGAAAAGCTTCCCCTACTTCAGGTTCCCACTCGAAGGCTTTTCGGAGAATCTTGAAGAAGTGTAAGCATTTGTCCGTAGACTTGGAAATAAATCTGTTGAGTGCTACAATTCTCCCGTTGAAGTGCTAGAGTTCCTTAGTTGAGGTGGGTGATTTCATGTCTAGGATGGCTTTGATTTTGTCTAGGTTCGTCTCAATTCCCCTCTGGTTGACCATGAAGCCAAGAAACTTTCTCGATCCGATGCCAAAGGCACACTTCTTAGGGTTCAGCTTCATGAGGTATGACCTAAGAACATCGAAGGTTTCTTGGAGGTGGTCTATGTGGTTTGCCACAACGAGGGTTTTTACCAACATATCATCTACATATACCTCCATTGTTCTCCCGATCTGAGACTAGAACATCATGTTCACCAGCCGTTAGTAGGTTGCTCCCGAATTTTTTAGATCAAAGGGCATGACCCTGTAACAGTAGGTCCCCTTCAGAGTGATGAATGATATCTTCTCTTGGTCTAGGGGTGCATGCTGATATGGTTATATTCAGAGAATACATCTAGGAAGGTGAGCCACTCATGTCTTGTAGTGACATTGATGAGGAGGTCAATT